CCCCCCAGCCCCAACAGACAGGGAAGACCAGCACACTTCTTTTTTCCCCCAGAACAGCGTTTAATGTACTTACAGGACAGTTACGGAGTCACATTTAACCCGTTCAGTACGGGCACGACGGAGGGCAATATCGTACATCTTTATTAACGAGCTCGTTTAATTAACGTATTTGGTTCTTACAGCTATATAGACAAGGGGAGGCAAAGTATTTGCTCTCACTGACTTTCACCACCGATAGCGCCGTCCCAGTCACAGTGCCCGAGTACGGAGCGCAAGGGAGGGGAAGGCGGCGAGCCCGAGGAAGAGCCCTGGCGGTAAGGCAGGGCAGGGGGCTTTCTACACAACCCTAGTCGTAAAAATAGAGAAAAGAGCTTCTGTCAACGATCGCACGTGCTTCCAGAGAGAGGTAGCTGCAGATCGTAAAAAGGCAGTAATAAAAAGTTCAGTGCAAAGTTCTAGGTTAATAAAGAAAAGGAAGAGGTCAAACGCAAGCTGTTACTCTGACATACCAAAACAAGGTCTGTACAGACAATTGTATTTCTGGCTGCAGGTCATACAATGCATAAAAGATTTTTTTTCTTCTCATTAAACAAGATATAAAAAGCTGTTAAAACTATGTTTTCAAGCTACTTCATGTACTGGTCAACTCCACCCCAATCGAATATCTTTCCTTTTTTTTTTTTGTACGCAGTACATTAAAGTCTTATTGCCATAATCACTTTTTTCTTAATTGAGAATAGTGCAAAGAGGTGCAAGCTTGGTGCTGTTCCTCTACATGTGAGGAGAGGCCAAGGCCAGATCCCATAGACAAAATAAAAAACCATGACCATAAAAAGCTTCAGCCAGTGGCTATTTTGAAAAGGAAGGGAAAGGCACAAAATGAGTTAAGCTATGAAGAAGATTAAATCAGAAGTCAGGACAAGTGCTAACAATAATACAGTACTATACTTTTTTTTTTCCAGAGTCCAGACAACTGTTAAAACTGCAAATCATTTTTTAAATGATTTTAGTTTATTTGTATTTTGTGCTGTAAGATACTGTGCTTTAATAGCAAACTGCAAAAAAGGCAGTACATATTGCTTTCATTTTATTTCACAATGGAACGTTTCACAAAAACAGTAGTCTACTTTCCTGTGTTTTAAGTGACTTGTGATTCTAATGATGGAATGGAGTAAGTCTCAAAAGCATCAAGTGAGCAGGAAATATATCTAGTTAGTTATATAGTTTATTATTTACATGCTATATACTACATGAAAAAGACACAGAAGATGCCTAATAAAACTGGGATTTGTTAGCGCCCATTAGTATCAACCCAGTTTCTAACATTCAAGATATTCTTAAGTTTTTAATTGTAATAATTCCTAGGAAATTGGACCATGAATATTTTAGGCACCAGGATATTCAAGTTTACTTCTCTCTCCTGTATTGAAGGGAGATTGGTCAGTAGCAGGGGAAGGAAAAATCAGATTATGAAATCGGTTTTTAGTGTTGGGTGTAGAGAAGGCTTTCCCCATATTGTGTCTTCATAGTTGCATATTTTACTTTACAATTTCGTTCTAGTCATAGTCAGTGGTGATAGTCTGTTTTGCTTCAAGATTTAGTACTAAAGAAAAGTGCGCAACTTTACCCTATAGCTGTGTTTAGACAGAACATGACCATCCTAAGCACCAAGTAAGGTGAATAAAAAGGCTATGCCTGTAGTGCAGAAACACCTAATTAACCAACCAGGGGTATTAACGGGAGACAGTAAGTCACATTTGTACTCCACTGTCACAATATAGTTCAAATCTAGTGTTTCTTGGAATTAAGTATTAATTCTTACTGGGAATGAGAAACAGTGTTGCTGTGAACTGTTAAAAGAAGTGAGCAAGTTCCTCTCTCAAAGCTCTGTTAATGCAACTCATTTTGGCCTACAATTCATCCAGCAGTTGTGCTTTTTAACTAGAGACCATATGAGGTACAGGTAAGTAATTTAGGTGCAAATGCCACTTTGGATTTAGTGTTTGAATCTGTTCCACATTTAATCACTGTAGTATTTAAAAGGTCTAGAAATTAAGACATTTGAAAACACTGAGAAGCTGGGCACATTTCCTATGGCGCCACATTCATCCAGTCTTCATTCAGTTTTTGGAGATCATGGGTAGACAATGGGGTAGAAAAAATTTACATAAGTTGCACTAACCATGAAGATCAGGATAAGTGATATTATTTGTAAGGAACACATCTCAGGAAAAGACTTCCAGTAGGACCTGCAAGTTATCAAATACGAGAACGTTTCCCCTTTTAAAGGGGCTGAAAGTTAACACGTATACATATTTAAATACCAGAAATGAGGTAAAAGAGAAGCATTTGAATTATAAGGCACCATTATTTACAACTTCCATTATTGGCACTCACTCCAATAAGTCTTAGAGAAGCATGAATCTGGGATTAAATGCAACGCTAAGGAATTTTTCCAGACCTTCAACCTTCATTTCTACAGGTGTGTGTGAAGCCACCAAAGTTTTACCCATCACTGCTTCTGTGATGTCTAGTTAGTAGTGGGAATGTAATCCTAAAAATGTCATTTCTTTGATGTTCTCCAGCATCATGCCATGGATGACACAACACAGGCAACAAAAATTAAAAGCAAAAATGCACTATATCCACAGGCCTAATGATTAAGTTATGGTTTAAGCAACTAGCATGGTCAAACTGTTCATTTCACTTGCATGGATGGTTTAAAAACCCCTTCCTTTACCCGCAACTCTTAAAACATTTATAGTGATGCTTTGATAACATCGCATAAGCGTAACCCAGGTTTTCTAGAAATCCTCCAAATTAGGCTACACAAACATTGGTCCAACATATCTGTTGAAATGCAGAGTCTCTTATTTTAAGATGTACAAGTTATCTTCAAGTAGGAAGATGCACAAAGCACAAGTGAATACAATTGTTCTGGTCTTACTCAGGTGTAGAAATAAGTTCACAGATAGGGTACAGCAGTTAGTCGATACCAGTTAACAGTCTCCTTGCTCAAGTTGAAGTCCTTTAGTGAGAGTGTAATTCCACCCAAGAAAAAGTTCTCACGTAACGACTCTGCACTGAGCACACTTAACTGAAGTTCTCTCTGTTTCAGAGTCTCCATGCTATATCCACTGTACACAAGCTAGAAGGTAAGAAGTCAAGAATTTTTTGGTTATCCAAATGAAGTTACACAGATTGTCTAGCCACTGATAGATGTCTTAACTGCACATTATGACCATTCAGTATGTCTGTTTCTCAGAGGATGGGCTGAAGTACATCCGTATTTTATTTTGTGCTCCCAGTGTTAAGTGTTTAAAAGGACCAGTGTTTTTAGATATAAGTCCTGTTTACATGCCAAGACTTCTGAATTCATTCTTCTCCACATTATGAATCAGTGAATCCAGGGCAGGGGGATCTTTAGTTTTAAGATTCCTTTCCTTCTCCCCATCACTCCTCAGAGTCAGCCTGAGAAATTTCTGCTTACTTGTAATAGTACATTTACCTACTCAGATGCTTTGGGTTTGTTTTTGATTTTTTTTTTTTTTAAAAGGGCACAGAGTTTTTCAAACAAGTTCCTTTTCCATTTATATATCTTTGCAGATTTTTTTTAGACAATATTTTAATTACTGCTTATAAAAAGAGACAATAGCAAATCATATGGAGTTACTAGATAAATTTTAACTTGCCATTTCATTGAAAGTTGGATTTCTTGTCTTCCGGGAGATTTTGGTTTTGCGTTTGGATGTTTTGTGCGTATCTGGAAGTAAGTATGTTTTTACATAGGGATTTGGATCTGCACCATCTTCTGTAACCTACAATCCAAAACCAAGACAAGTTAGAAAACTAGTTAGTGCACACCTATTTGAGTATTTATTTTCAAGTATCTAGACTTTGCAATCAAGCTAACCAAAAGCAGCACTTAAGTTGGCAGTTGGAAAGTTTGGAGGAAGAGAGAGAGTTCCACCATGCCTGCATCAACCCAAGTCAAGAAGGTAATTGACAAAATGGAAACAGTTTTCAGCAGTGAGCTCAGTATCTCTACCTACCAGGTCTTTAATGTGCATCACCATGATAAATAGAGTGCTATTTCTATATGATATGGATAGCTTCACTTCTCCTCCCACTTTGCCTGAGTTAGGACTTGATGGACTTGCATCTGAAAAAATATTACAGAGGAAATAATTGTATATTTGTACATTTTCATCACTACTACACTAATTACATATGGGGGAAAAATACAAGCCTTAGACCAAGCAAGTTCAGTTCCTGATTTTATTTCTAGTTCTCTAATAAGAGGGCAAGGCCATAGGTTTTAAAGATTTTTGCATTCTCTTATAAGAACCAACTTGGAGGTTTGGAGTAAAAACTTGAATTATTTAGTCAAACTATAAGCAAGCCCAAGTGATCACATACTGTTGCAATTTTTGGTATGTTTTTTATTTCCTTGAAACTGTAAGCAGGCACATTTGGAAGGACAGTGATGCAAAGTTTTCAATGAGGGAAAACTACAGTTAATTAAAAAAGATGTTAAAAAATCACATTGTAAAGGTGTCATACTATAGTCATCCAATTTATAAACACCCCCAAAAACATTACGTACCTGTAGGTCTGGCTATTCCATCTATTCCTTCCACTTTGTCATCACGAAGTAATGGATGGAAAAAAGTATAAACAAGATCACACTAAATTTGGAAGAAACATTACATATTAGTTTAAGTGTTAACAAGCACCAAAATCTGAAAACTTGCATTGGATTTGCTTGAGTTATTTGAACTCACTTCTGCCACCTCTGAAGAACTGTTCATCAGACTCTGTATGTAGCTGTTGAGCTCCACTTTTCTTTTAGCTGCTACATCTTTTATGTGTGTTCTTCCCAGAACCATCTTATTAGGAAAGCTACAAGGGAACAACAAGATAGAGTTTTCAGTTAATTTCTCTGAAGTAAGTACAGTTAGATTTCATTATTATTTCCATCCTGAAGTACATCCTTTTTTTATGTCAATCATGAGCGGAAACACAGCACACTAATAGGTAACAACATTATAGAAAGGCAAGGAAACATTCACAGGCAATATAAGTGATATGAGACACAGACTAAAGACACCGAGTTGCTCCTCCGGCCCTCCTCCTTAAAACTTTGAGACAACAGTTTTCTCCCTTAATTGCCAACTTTGAGGTCTAGTTTGCCCCTCAGCAGTTTTGTCTCCATTTCAAGCTATTTCTTCCTCCACCCAGCTGGGAACAGGTTTTTTGCTTCCATTATAATAGTGATGGGTGAGTTAGGAACATACCCTGGTAACTTCCAAAGAGGAAAGAGAATGCCTAGTTTGTTGTGGAGCTCCTGGAACTCATCAAATGTTCGGAAGACAAATGTTGGCTCAGCTTGCCCTTCTCTCAAAACTCTCACTACATAGATCTGCCCAAAACACAAAACACAAAGATAAAAGTAGTAACAATATTATAGAACTGACTTAATATAATTTTCTTAACAATTAACTCTTTCTGCTATGGTAATCCTTCTCCTGCATACATATCCCAGTAACAGCATTTGCATTTTATAGTAGAGTTGGAATTATAAATACCCGTACTGTAATGCAAAGTAACATCACATGATCTTCCCATAACGTAGATCCACATCTGACAGTGGGACAAAGGTAGTAAGGCTAAGCTGTCACATTCTCCCTTTTAAGCCTCATTGTAAGCTCATACCATATAGCAGGTGTACAAAATTTCAACACATCAGTGCAAGATTGCACCTAGACATGTATCTGTGGGGCCAGAACTACCACAAAGCTTTTCAGGTACAGACTATGGAGGACACTAATGCCTAATTTCCCCCCCCCCTCAATCTAAGTCTCTCAAGATTCTAAAGGATTCCACTTTTCAAGTGATAATTTGGTGGGCAGATGCAAGTGTACTGCCTTATACAAAAGGAATTTTTAGAAGTACTGGGGGTACAGTCCCAGGATGCAATTATTCACATCTTTATGAAAGGGAAATGAAGGTTGAGAAACTGCACAGAAAATTCAATTCAGTGGACTCATTTTATGGGCACATGTATATTTAAAAAATGTGCAACTGGGAAGAGTTTTAAAAATCTAGACAGAAGGAGACTGTATCATCTTAGCAGTTTCCTGGAAGGTAGGAGGCTGTTTTGGCTTAGACTAGGAGTGCTCAAATACATGTATGATATAGTGATTCAGTACAAAGCTCTTCGCTTCTAGCATTATTCAGCTTTGTTCTACCTTCCCTAGCTGGTGTCTTACCAGATTAAGACATTTACAACAAATACAACTCAAAGAGATGTACATTTACATACATCAATATAGCTCACTTTTTAAACAACTTGAGGAAAATGTAACTTGAGCTGACTATTCTAGGCCAACAAACAGCAGTAGAGAAGTAAAAAAAAAAGTAAATTGAAGGTGGTTGCATATCTGCATAGGAATATGAATATTAAGACAAGTCTTAAAGTGTAACCCAGGTCTGTCAAAATCTTGAGGGCAAATTGTAATGCTTGCTGCCTCTAGTAAGACTGACTAGGAGTGTAGCTGCATTAATACAGGAAATGATGCTTTCACTTAGGAGGAGCAAATACAATTTTAATGGAAGGTCAGAACAAAACCAGAAGGTGTTTGACTTAATGACTCCTATTCAGGAAGGAGCCATTTTACAGAAGGTGGCTACATAAGCACATAAATATGACTCAAATCCCCATTTTTTTAAATCATCTCCACCAACACTACTTCTGTCCTTTCTGCTTCCTTCTAGAACCTTTTCAAGAAGTGTCTTCATTTTGAAGAATATTATTGGATGCTAAAAATACCAATCCCTACTCTAGCACTCCCGTGGTTAGCTGCTGGCCAGGGTAAACCAACCACCTACACAGCTGCTTGCTCACTGCCACCTCCTCACCAATGGGACAGGGGAGAGAATAGGAGCAAAAGCGAGAAGACCCATGGGCCGAGATAAAAACAGTCCTTGGGAGGGGAGGTGATGCAAAGACAATCTCTCACCACCTCCCACAAACAAACCCACGCCCAGCCAGTCACCAGGCAACAGCCACCTTGGAAGACAACATCCTCCCGCCCCCTGCTTTCTTCCTCTACCCCCAGTTTTTATTGCTGAACCTGACATTATATGCTATGGTGTATCTCTTTGGCCAGTTTGGGTCGGCTGTCCCTGCTGTGTCCCTTCCCAACTTCTTGACCACCCACAGCCTACTCACTGCAGGGGGGGCAGGGGCAAAGTGGAAGAAAAAGAAAAAGCATTGACACTGGCACAAGCACTGTTCAGCAACAACCAAACCAATGGTGTGTTATCAACACTGTTTTAGTTAAACATCTAAAACACAGCACTGTGTGGGCTGCTATGAAGAAAGGTAACTCCATCCCAGCCAGAGCCAATACAACTCTGTTCTCCAGGACGCAAGCAAGCAGGCCCATTCCCATCTAGATTTCAATTATGGATTTTGTTTTTACTTTCAAGTCATCCACAGTGGGGTTTAGTTTTGGGTGTCAACATCGGTGTGGGTTTTAGGCTCCCATTATAGTCAATGTGGTCAGACTATGGAAAACTCTACAGCTCTAAATCTGACACTAGTGCCCAACTGAACATGTAAGTATCTATAGCTGTATTTACTAAATCTCTGTCAATAAAGGGAACCTAGTTGTCTACCTCAAAGCTAGCTACTTAAGGCTAAACAAGGCACGCTTCCCCTGGACTAATTCTCTGTGATTAAGTACTGAACTTATGGCAAGAAGGAGAATGTATCCCGTTGGAAGAAAATGCACAGTATCTTTACTGAGTGGAAACAGATTCTACATACTTACATAATGTTTATCTGGGTTATATCTCTTCTGATATGTAAACACAGACACTTGTTTGATTCGGCCATCTTGTTTAAGAGAATATGTTTTAGCAGAAAATGAGAGGATGGGTTCATCATTAGAAGGTAGACCTGAGAAACGCAGCTGAGCCAAATTGTGAATGAAGAAGTTAAACTTTGTGGCAACACTTCCCAGACTGGATTCAATCAACCTAGAAAAGAAAAAATGTCAAATACCAGAGCACATGTCAGAACACACAAAAGTAGTTCTGTCAATGATTCAGACTTAAAAACCAATTTCTTAGTTTAAAAACTGTTTCTCTGTCAGTAAAAGTGATCAATGGGCTACATAAATAGCATCATATCAGCATTTAATAGAAGATTCAGTATTCAAACGTTGGAATAGGTTGTTGTCCAAGAAGCGAAGTCTTCCCAGAGTTGGTAAAAAAAGTTACATGCATACTACTGCAGTTTCCCCCATATATTCAAGAACACATTTTGTAACACATAGCAACAACTCAGTTACACCATATACACACCCACCTACCTGCTACACTGGAGCATCATCCCTTCCTCCCCAGTGTGCAAAAGCACTTCTTGAAAGAGAGAACTTCTTTACATGTATTACAAGGTTCCCATCATATACACTGCTATTAAGCAATTTAAGATGCATGCAAAATGCAAGTCTCAAACAGCCAAACAGAGTTATCCGCTCTCAGTATTTCAAACAAGTTTTTGCACAAGGTTACTCTTAAAGGCAAAGTATTTTAGCACAAGCATTAATCTTACATGAAACTGATCTTATTTATGTAGTTCACTGGCTAACCGGTATTTTATGATTGTACAGTGTAACTTATTCAACTTCAGCAAACATGTTTGTGTACATCCTTAGTACATTTTTTCATAGTAGAAAGCTCCCATTGAGAGCATGATGCTGGTAGGTATTTTAGTTTTCATTTAGCCAGTACCTTGTAAAGAAAATGGTAGCTTCTGCATCTGTCGTTTGGGGCTGGAGAGCATCCTGAACATACTTCAAGTCCTGAACCCCACTTAGTTCTGGTAACCCAGAAGAAAGCATCTGCAGGAATTTACAGTTTTAATGCAATAAAACCAGTATAATTTTACATTGAAATGATTAAAACTTAGACCATCAAATTCATTTGAAGCTGCACTAACTTGCTAAATGCTAACAGCGATAGCCAACAATTACTTAGAATCAGCAGTTATTCCCTTCACCATTTCTGCTGAGTTAAAAACAATTAAAACACTTTACAGTGTGATTTATGGTATCTTCTTAGTTTTAAATTCTCAGGAAACAGGTAGTAGTAAAAAAAGCTTAAAAGACAAATCCAAATACAACCTTCCTAAAAAGTACTTCTGATGTTTCTGGCTTTTAAAAGCATGCATTAAGAGTTTCTGCAGCATAAAAAGCATAGCATTTAATATAATCCAACATGAGAGATCTATCAAGTTTCAACTGAATTTAATAAAGTGATTACCAATGAAAGCAGGTTAAGGAAGAGGTTTGCGTGTTTTCTTATCAAATTGTAAGCTTGACAACAGAGATCCACAAACAACTGAAAGCGAATAGTGGGTTTTTCACCACCGTTAATGACATAAGCCATATCCGATGTTAGCACAAAAGGAGCTCGATCCCTGTTCAAAAAGCACAGAATTTATAAGTCAGTTATAAGGTCTATTTACTTCGTCATGTGCTTCCTCCTCCCCTCCATCCCCACCCCAAGGTAATGATATTAAATAATCCATTAATGCCATTTTACTTTTTTAGGTTGGGTTCAGCTGCTTAGTGCTATCTCAGATTCGCAGCACATTCACATGGTACTGGACCTACAGCAGATCTCCTGGAGCAACACCTGGAGGCCAGGTTACCTTAGAATGCCTTCCATCCCTCATTGCTGGAAGCCATAACACATTGAAACAAGTGTAATGACTATATTATCACCTGACTAAAACATAACTCCTCTATCCTGGATATAGATTATCTTCCCCTACACAGAGGAGTAGTAAATACAAACTTGCTGTTCATTCTTTTCTATAATGTTGACATTCACTACTGTTTTTATAAGCCAGAGTCTGTTCTCATTTGTTTCACATTCAGATATTCAGATGACGTAAAGGTTTTGGCACTCAATTTCTCATTCATTGATAAAGTTTACCTAACAAGCATGCAATACATAATTGCATGAATATAGCTAAAAAGGTGAAACTACACTACAGTTTTATCCAATATTCCTGGAAAAGTATGACACCAAGATTTGTGTTAGATGTAAGGCTCCCAAATATCAATAAAAAGTTAGAGTAATTTTTTCCTGTACCAGAATACTTGGCTTTCATAACTATTGTAAAGAAATTCCCATCGAGATTTGCCAAGTGTGTATAGCACAAAGTTCTTAAGGAATGAATGCAGTTTGGAAGCACTGAAGTTAAATGACATTTAGGAGACCAAATTCCTTATTTCAATCTACCAGTAGCTAGAACAGTAATTTTATTTGAAAGCTATGCCTATGTGCTTTGACTTAAAACAGTTCCAGAGATCAGAATAAGGAAATAGGAAGCTGGAGCCTTTCCAAAATTAATTCTATATAGCTAAGTTTGAATGCATTCTGGAAACTGTGGTTAAATTGGAAGACATTGGCTTCATAATGAGAACAGCAGATAACAGGAATTTAAAAGTTAATGCTTAGAATTATAATGCTTATAAAGATACACTAAAAATCACTTCGTTCTCTACATCGCTTAGCCACAGAAAATACCTTTTAAAGCTACCAAACATTTGCGCATGACCCAAAAATTTTCCAAAGTCAATGTGAAACATATGTCCTGTGTTTCGGAGCATTATGTTATCATTGTGGCGGTCACAAATTCCCAATACATAAGTAGCTACACAGCATCCTGCACAAGAGTAAATGAAGTTTTCTGAAGCCTGGGAGGGAGAGAACAGAGTGAATTGAGATCAAATATCCGTGGGAAAACAGCATTCATGTATTCAACAGCCAATTTTGACAAGGGTAAAATCCAAGCCAGACAAGACAGGCCCTAAAATTTGCTTTTTTTCCCCAAAATAGTGTTCCTCAAGCAGATATCTAAAGATTTTTGCAAAGCTATTACACTTTCCAGCAAAAATGTTTGTTTTGTTTTTTTAAGTAAATGAAAGAAAAGAGGATTTGAAGACAAATCACAAAAAGAAATAAATGTTAGCAGAGAATAGAAGAGGGTACAAGACCTATTTTTCCAGTGTATTGTAACAGCGTTGTAGCCAAAAGAAAACATTTTATTTTTTGAATCCCATGTGCTTGTATGAGAAGAGGCCACTGCTCCTAAACCACAATTAAGAGCAGCCACCATTCCTCCCTATCTTAAATTTGAAGTACTTTTTTTCCATATCCAGAAAAAAATTCTGATGTGAATCCTGAGAATTCATCTGACTCCTTTTTAGTTATAAGGGATTTTCATTTTGCCTTTTTCAAGTATAGGAAAAAAATAAGTTTCCTAAAGATATAAAACAAAAATTTCAATTGGAAGATCTAGAATAAGAATTTAATTCTTTCCTAAGATGGTATTTATCCCTTTTAAGAGATCTTCAAAAAAGAACAATGCTGAAGAGAGTTACCTTTTCATACTCCTCCTCTGTAGGATTATACTTTCGCAACCATTCTGCCAGAGGCTTGTCTTTAAAAGAACCTGTTACTCCATATTCCACTTGAATTTTCCTAAGTGTATCTGAAGCAGGAACAAGCTCTACCATGCCTTTATATAAAATACAACAAAGTATTTAACAATCTCCTTAAGTTATACTGCATTTTCATTATTCAGTAGAAACTTGACAACGATGCAAAGAAGGTAGTCTCAGACTACCTTCTTTCAAAACCCAGTTAGGTGTAAAAATAGTGCCACTGGTCTACTAAGCACTTCTGCAGACTATATTACAAAGCATACCACAAAACACATGTAGCAATCCAAGTTAGGCTTACTTTACTACAATTAGTTACAGTTGCTAGAATGCATGTATAAGTTACACTTTGAATAATTACTTTCTACTACATAAACTAGTATTGGTCTATAAGCAAGAACTGCAAAATAGTTTGATACTGACATTTCTCATACACTGACACTTAAGTAATCTAGTAACTTTAACTACTGTCAAGCACTGAAACAGACTAGACTGTTGCTCCAGAAATAAGGCAGTAGGCTTTATATGTGGCCTTATTTTGGAGATACCATTTACTAAAAATATTTGTATAGCTAAGTTATAAAAGGAAAACATTTATTTGATTAACAGAATTTTACTTCTATCTTGGCAAGAGCCACTAAAGGCAAATGTGTAGTTTACATCCATTTTTCTTTTTCACTTTAGTCCTTCAAGTACTTTAGGAATACTAATATTAGCAGCAACAACAAAAAAAAAATGCAACATACTATGCAATCAAGTCATCATTCAAAATAGGAAGAAAAGCCATCTGTTTCCCTAAAAAGCAAGTCTTGCATAAATAGAAGCTTTTTGCTTAGTTTTGCCAACCTAGATTTCCAACTTTTCATGTATTTAAGAGTTTTCATCATGCTGTTCTAGCATCTGACTAAAGAAATATTTAAGTTATTGTTTATCCTCTTAAAGATCTTGTGGTTCCTATTGGCTAGCTCTAGAGAATTAGTGAAAACCAGCAAAAAGCATGTTCAAAGTGCAGGGCGGTATTTACACTCAAACTCAGAGTTCTGTGACCTAGTTTCAAACCTAGAAGAGCCTCATATTCGCAAGGAACTTTTACCAGCATATGACACTAATTCTGGGGGATAGTGTGTGTGTGTTAAAATTTTCTTCTTTTTGCATGTTTCAGTACATGAATGATAATTCCTGACTCAACTGCAGCAGATTCCAAATACTTTAGAATTTCAGTTTTGACTTGAATACTTTCCGTCACCGTAACTAAACTTTTAGAATCAGGATTGCTATGGCACCGTTATTTTCTTGTGTAGCAGTAAGGGCATCAAGAGAAACCTTAGCTTTTATCATTATTAATATTTACTTGTTTGCACCACTGTTCATTGACAACAGGACTCAAGAGAAGAAACACATTTAAATGCAACTCAGCCATCAGGAAATTCAGAACAATTTAACTTGCTATACTCTGGAACACTGAAGTTCCTTGCATGGAAGGCTTCTGGCCTTCCACTGTTTCTTGGTCCTGCCTCTGCACAGAAATTTTTCACTATCAGTGTGACAAGAAATTGAAGTGGGGGAGCAAAGATTATAGGCAGCATCCGGTTTTGCACCTCGGTCTTTTCCAGTTGAAAGACACTTGAAGATAACCATCCGTAGGTCCAGTCCCTCCTGCAGCCAGATCTTATCCATAATCTTAATCATTTGTAAAGCCAACATATCTTGTCTCAGATCTTCTCCAACCTTAAATGGAAAAATAAAAGTTAGAGACACAATATGCTTTCAGCAAAACTAAACTTCAGATTAATTGCTTTATATTTCTAGGAAGTGATACATTATGCTACTTACTTCCTCATAGCTACGCACTTAAAAAGAGAAATAGGCTACATTTAAGCTTTCACATGTGGTAGACTTACTTTCACATTTTACAACCTGTTCAGACATTGGTTTCTACATACACAGGAACAAACTCACAAAATAACTAAACTTTTTGGTCTATGCTAAAGTTAATTGATACCAATGAAATAGTGATTATCATTCAACTTTTTTTCTCCAATATACATGTAAGGCCTACCTTAAACATCACGTTAATTTCTTCTCCCAGAGGGTCTGCATTTATCAGTGCAACTTTCAGCGGTACTGCATTGGAGCTGAAGAAAGAACATGCCTGCAAGTAGATTTAGTGTTAATACTCAAAAAGGACTATTCCTGCTAGCCCAGAAAACAAGACATTCTGACAACAAGCAGGTTTGAACCACAATGTGTCTATTCAGACTTTTAACATTGCGATTGTGGTGAATACGTGCTTCCTTTGAATAAAGAGCCCTTTGGCTGTCATTTGTTGAATTCTTGTACAAAAGCCAATAGTGCTGCAGTGATGTTTTTATACATTTTGAAGGGAAGACTGAATAAAACATGGATAAATATTTTATCAGCAGCTTTTTCTGAAACCTAGAAGATATTATAAAATGTGTATTTGCACGTTTCACAGTATTTTCTCATTTATCTGCTTTCAAGTACATATTCATGATTTAATAGTTACAGCAGAGAAGGAAAGCAAGACGAACTGTCTCTCCACACAGGATTAAATCCAGTGTTCACAGACCTTTAGGTTCTCAGTCATGCATGATGATAGAATCAAGATCGTGGTTGAGCAGACACTGTCAAACCTTGCAGAGTTCTGGAAAAATAGTTCACCTGCTTCTCCTACATTATTACTTGCTGGACCTTCACAATAAAATAAAGCTACTGTCTGCCTCCCTGGATTCAGTGCATCTCTTGGACACAACCAGTAACAGGTACTTTCACCTATTTTACAGTATCTACTCATTGTTTGAGCTTTATAGCATGGCTCAATTTTCTCTTTTGATTACTACTGCAAACAGGACTTTTTCAAGCACTTTGAATAGTCCCCTGCTTTACTATAACCAGGACTGCTGGTCTCAAGAGACAGGGTCTGAAGAAATAACAAGTTATTGCAGATTTTTTTTTTTTTTAAACACAAGTACCTTCATTGGTTTTACAGAGGTATTTGTATATAAATTTTATGTTTGCTCAGCTAATTTCACTGCCTTGTTCAATCAGCATTTTTAACTAAAACCCTCCCTGCCAGCGTAAAAAGCTTTCAAGCACCTCAATTGATTTTTTCTATTTGTAAAAACTTTGCCTATATGTAATTTTTACAAAAAGGTTTTGAAACTCTGAATGTGCAGTACCTTAATATTTAGCTCTTTTGCCACAAGACTGGGATTGAGAGGCAAACGGCATTTGTTCTTCAAGAAAAATAACTGCACACGTTCCATACCATTTTGCAAGGCAGCCTGCAGGCAAAAAAAAATTCAGCTGACATTTTGCTAACTGAAGCATCTACAGAAAACTTCTGGACAAAGTTATCCTGAAGCCAATGTTTTAACTCCTCAGTGTCAAAGGAATGCTAGAAGTTGTAACTGCTGTTCTAGCTATTAAAAATACATAAGTCTAGTAGTACAACACTAATATCACAAGTTAGTGGTGTTTTTTTTTTTACTGAACCACATGATAGAATCCCACTCTATCAAACTGTAAGTTCATATTATTAGCATGTAAACGGATATCCCATTCTTTTGCATCACAGGATCATTCTTCAGCAATGATAGGTTTAAATCCAGTTCCAGTTTATTGTGCACAGAAACCATCCTACTTTCTTACCCTATCACCTCACACAATCTTATGTTTCAGATGACAACAAATTTGACAAAAACATCAACTTCATTAAGCCATTAACTTGTTAAAATGCAGAGCAATAGATTCATAGATCTTCCTATATATTATATATAACATTTTATTGAACTTAAACTAAAAAGGCAATTGAGTGGATTGTTCTGAGGGCATACTCAGTCTAATCTTCCTAAAGAATATTAAAAATATATACACACCTGCCGAGCAGATCCACTTGTTTGCTTTACTCTTTCTGCTACCATTCCAAAAAGTTGCACCAGTCTGGTCTGCTTCTCCAGCTCTTCCCTCAGCCTTTTTCCACAGACTGAAAGAAAAGCTCCAAGAATTTGCTCATACCTTACACCAAACTTTGTATCATACAGTGTATCCTTAAGAAGCCTGAAATAAAGGATTTAAGATAAATTTTCCTAAGGAAAATACTGCAAACGATGCAATACTAAGACCTTAAAATACTTCAATGAATCAGTACTATATATATCCAAAGTTACTGATACACAGGATATAAAAGGCAGTAAGTTTGTGCCTTGTACAGGCACTGTCTGTTTTTTCACGGGAGAAACAGGATCTACATTTTGTATACTCTCCATTCACAACATATCATATGAACTATGATATTAACAAAGAATATTTTTTTCTGGAAATATTAATCTTTAGTAAACATTACGTGAACAATGGAACAAAGAACATCTTACCAATATAGGTAGTGTGCTATTCGAATGCTTCCCAGTGCCCGAGCCAAAAGAAATTTGACAAGAGCGCTGTCAAGGTAGGTTTCATACTTCAATGCCTAAATACAAAGAAAATGAAATAAATCAGGTCTGGATTTAATTCTAGGTGAAGACTGACATTTTTATGACTAATGCACAGACAGAATCACCACAAATCCATAGGACAGTCACAGGGCAATTATTTACTCAAATTGTTTTCCATACCATGCATTAAGCTTATTAAGTATAGAGGCATGCAGTTGCACTTCTGCTACTAGTAATCAGCAATTCCTTTGGGTTTTCAAGAGCAAAAAAATTCAAACTTCAGTGTAGACAGAAAGTCTTACCTGCACAAATTGAGGAAGGAAATCTGTTAACTCATCATCACTTAATATCTCTATCCAATTCACAGCTGTATTTCGTACTTCCTGATCAGCAAACCTAGAAAGTCACCGCAAGTCCACATTAAGTTTATTCTGTTCATGTAGGACTTTTTTTCTTTTTTGATATCAGCTAGATACAAAAGAACCTATATGAAGTCTTTAATAGGTCAATAAAGGATGTACAGGTTTGAGGCCCTTCATTACCTAAGATGTAAACACATGTGCATGTTTAGGACAAGCATACTAATCTCTCAAAACTTCAGTCTTGATAGCTTGGCTGTAGAGCTTGCTCTCCTGTCGCAAATCAGATTTCAGAATCCTAACCACTATTGCTATTCTTTCAATACATGACTTGGTTAAGCCTACATGAATAAAGTAAGCACGTTTTTCAAAATTTTAAGAAAATTTAGCTTTTGCTACAAGAAATTCAGCAGTATTTTCCACAAGAATGCTATTCAGAATCTTTTACTGAAAAGTCATTTAATGCACAACACACAGAGAGAACTTATTTACATTGTTTTTCTTACTTTGAATCAAGTAGTTCCAGTGCAGCTAAGGGTGATAAAGGAGGCCACTGTTGAAGTAATGAATATATTTCTGGAAGACTTGCCCAGTCCCATTGAGGGGCACTAACCAATATTTTTGGTAGGCTACTAGTATGACTATGGCAATAATGTCTCTTCTCCCACAAAAATTCTTTATCTTCTTTTGACAGCCTGCAGACAAAAGCATTTCCATTTATAACGCACACCACAGACCATCACCTGAATAACCCCAATGCTATTGGTCATTGTATACATAGAAATAATTTAACACACAAAATGGAATGCAATTAAAATGGCTATTTCGTCCACAAAAGTCAAAACGAGAAGCAAAATAAAGCCTCAAACATTATGGAAGCAGTTGTTCAAAGTTATAACTTGGGCAGGACAAAAATAAGTTTTAGTATAGTCTGAAATAAACCAAAATGTTAATGTTAGTTTGGTGCAGATGAGGGGGAAAGCCTGCCAGAGAACCTTTCATAGCATATGAACAGCCACTGCTGAAACTGCCACTGCTCCCTGTAACTGAAGAACTGCCAAGCAGTTCTATATATGCAATAGGCATATATAACAGGCAGCCAAAAGGGTGGCAGTCTTGTAACAGGAGAATGACAACACTAGCCATGGAAAGCACAAGTAAATTCATTATGTCAGCACCATTATTTCGCAAGTTTAAGTCAAACTCTTGTTTAAGTGTCCATAGGTCTTCAAAATTTACTAGAACCATATTAAAGAAATTTAAGAATAAATAAGCATTCCATACCCTAGCCACAAACTGATGCATACAAAGAGACCATAGCTAGAAAGAGATGAACATACCCAATAGTGTTATCCTTTGAGAGAATGGCAAGGAGACGTTCTCTCAATGGTTTTTCTAATGTTTCTATGGAATGACGCACAGTAGTCTTTGCAGCTTGAGGAATTTTATATTCAATATCAAAAGCATGGGATGGGAAGTCAATCTAAAAGAAAAAGAAAGAGATGATGCAAGTTCTTAAGAACAGTACCAACCATGTTTTGGGACTGCTAAGCCATGCCTAACAAGGTGCCTTCTCTTCCTAGAGAAATTTGGGCTCTGAATTTAGAATGAGAGGTGCTTATGTTCTGTAAAGAAACTGGAATGGCTATTTTTTGGGTCTAGACAACTCCCATCTCAGCATACATTTCTATAGATTGCTTTTCAAAGATGTTCTCTCCCGGTACTGATAGCATGTATTACCAAGGCATTTCCGATTTCTTACTTCAAGATAGTGATTTAATAATTGACTTGTATACACATACAGCAGCTTTCCATTCTTTGCCCTTAATGCTTAGTAATCGCTATTCTATATGGGCTTTCAAATATGACTTCGCAATATTTGCACTCTCCCCAAAACATTAATTGATCTACTACCACTCACGTAAGAGTTACAAGTCACAATATTCAAACAAGACATAGTCAGATCAAGTCAGAATTATATATAACCTGCAATACTATTCTTTCCATATTTCCTTTCCTACTGGCCATCCCTGATGCATGATGCGGATGTGATGAGGTCCAGAGTTGCAAGAGCTTTGTCCCACAAGTTAACAGTCTGAGAAAAAAAAAAGAGCACGTACAGGTATTAGTGTCACAGTCTGTTTACTTCAACAAGATATTAGTTACTAAAATACTATCTGGAGAAGACCAATGGTCACTACAAGGAAACAATTCCAAAGCATTAATGTGGTATAGGAGGATAGTTCAAACTGAGTATGTGTTTCTATTGCAGAGATAAGAAAATATCCTATGACGAGTATTTCAATATTCATGTTCAGAAAAGAACACAGGAAATCAAACTGTACTAGCCAATACAGTTTGGACCTTAAAAAAGGGAATTATGATCATCAAGTGTCATATGAATTTATTTCTTTCACTGGATGTCTTCTGTACTTTAAGTCCTTTGAAACACTACATACAACTTTCAGGTAGAAAAGGCAGAGGAAAAAGTTCAGTGCTGACACAGCTAACCCAGCTAAATCAAGCGTTCCCTATTTCTTAAGGGAGAAAAGGAACACTTTTGCCTCTGAGGAATAAACTGAACACACGCACCTTCTTACCCTCTCAGAAAAAAAGCCATGGGCATATGAATATTATAGACATTGCTAGTTGCCTGGACTTTCCACATTACTAGATCTGCAAGCACTTATCAGATGACATTTGTATTTGCCAGTTTATTCCCAATATTAAGGCACAACTGAGGATACTTCATATATTGGTTAAGTGCTGAATGTTAGGCACAGAAAACTTCTATCAGTCTTTAAAAATCAAAATACAGTCTCAAAAAGACTTCTTGGAGGCCAAGCTTTTAGTATATTTTGAAAGATGTTTTAGGGTTTACGTGTGTTTCAAAGAAAGAACAGTTCTTTATACGTAAAAATTGATTAACTGGGAGCTTATGATGCCAATAAAAAAATACTAAATCGTGCCACTAAAGCGTAACTGAACAGCTCATTCTTTTTAGTAATTCTCTAGTTTAATATACTTGCCACAGCCTTCTGTCTCATCCACAAGTGAAGATATTTTACAGCACTCCACACACTTCATCTGAAGGGATTTTAACTTGACTACGGATTCTTCCAAAGCACACACATGACCTTTTATTCTTCCTACGTTTTAGTTAGCTACAAGTTTCAGCTCCTGCCTGCTGTTGATGCTATTCTCAACTGTAACTGGAATATTTGGCTAGTATCTTTAATTACCTAGGTCTGGATTTAATTTATGTAGACTGCAAGTGGATTAGACCACTAGCATCTTTACAGCTGCCATATACAGGCCATTCAAGTAAACACTGGTGCAACACATTCTATTTAGTGCTCTGCATAAACAGAAAATAGTTTTCTCCCTAAACTAACTACTATGAGAACACCATGCAGCGTGAAGACAAGATAAATTTGCAATTCAAATCAAAACAAAAGCTATGTTTTCAATAAAATACTGTGCAATGTGATATTTAGATAGGAGACTGAAATACAACATTTAAACAAAAGGCTGAAATAAGCATCATTTATGAAAAGAAATCCAAGTTTCAGTGGTGACTAAAAGCAGCTGCAGGCCATCTTTGCAATGCAGGAAAGTCTAAACTCTTAAGCATCCCCAAGCTGTTGGAATCGTCACCATAGAAAAGGGGAAGCAGAACAAGTAGAGCCATATCTAGAACCAGAGGATGCAAGCCATGTGGAACAGACATAAGCAATACATAGAAGTAACTATCCAGGAAAGACTTGGTTGTCTTTCTGCAGCCTTGGTTGACGATTAGATAATTTAAGCTTCCAGTAAGACCTAGAAGTCAGAAGCACATATAAATAGGAAACCCTAAGCATAAATCCTGAAGCTATTTTGCAGTGGTGTGATCACTTCTGCAACATCATGCCTAATTCTGGCATCCGTGGCCAGAATGAAACGGACAGTGACACCCGCACATATTTAACTGCATATGACTTATAGGGCAACACCTGGATGTCAGTGGATTCCTCAAAGGACAACTTGAGTTATGCTTACATACTCAACTGCTGCATACTTACACAGTTGGTATGAACATGACCTCTTTTGGCCCCCATTACTATGAGGATTTCCCACAAATAAAACCGCTTTCATCCAAACAATATTCAACTTCCTCCAGCAGGCAAGTTTTTTTTTTTCAGCCAGTTAGATGGAAATACTACAACACAGGACTATGTTTTATACTCTATTTAATTGAAAGCATTATTTCTGTAACAATAATGTATTCGGTTGTAGCGAGGTGGGTGTCGGTCTCTTCTCCCAAGTAACTAGCGATAGGACAAGAGGAAATGGCCTCAAGTTGCACCAGGGGAGGTTTAGATTGGACGTGAGGAAAAATTTCTTTACTGAAAGAGTGGTTAAACATTGGAACAGGCTGCCCAGGGAAGTGGTTGAGTCACCATCTCTGGAGGTATTTAAAAAGATGTGTAGATGAGGCGCTTAGGGACATGGTTTAGTGGACATGGTGGTGTTGGGTTGACGGTTGGACTCGATCTTAGAGGTCTTTTCCAACCTTAATGATTCTATGAATATAGTTTACAATTCTTACCTTTATCACGGCCTACTACATGCAGTGGCGGAGAAGCAGTTTCTATAGTTATGGGAGTGGATAAGCTTTATACAGAGTAAATCATATTAATAATCTTACCCATATTTTGGATACTTACCGCCTAAAATCAAAAAGAGGTAGAGAAACCTGACCCAAAATTTCTGGGCCCTTTCTCTGCTTATTTGAGTCAGGAGAACTCCCACTACTTTGATTTAAGATTCCAAACAAAGTCAGACATAAGACTGATTCCAAAGGCAGCTGTGAAATCTGGATGGGAAAAATTATTCTGTAAAATAAAAGTATTAAAATAAGTCAGTCAAAGGACAGACAGTTGTTAATAAGTTACAGGCTTATCCATATAACCCATTGATGCCTCTTCCTTTCAGAAAGTTAATTAACATTGAAGAACAAGTGTTACATTTCATTAATTATATTTCACTCCATTTTATCTCCTGTACCAGTAGTTTGCAAAACCTGCTAAATTACATTTCAGCACTGTAGCTAGGTTTGGAACAACCCTTTTTAATCTTTGTCTACTAAATCACATCCCTTACACAGAACCACACTGTCCAGCATAACCAGTCTTCCCGCTCTACTCACTATGAGGACACACACAATTCCATGTTAGCCGCCTCCTAGTCTCTCAGATTGAGAGTCAGCTGACAATAGTTTCCCATCCAAATGAAAGAATCTATTAAGAACTACTGAAAGAAATTCAAATGGTGCAAAACTAGCACCCATAAAGAAAGCAGCTGAGGAGTATACACCTCACTGAGCAATTCAAACTCAGATTTCTGCTTACACTGTTTTTATTGCTTAAAATGTTCTTTAAGTTTGATTTGCTGTAACACACCAAAATATCATTCTAAAAATTACCACAACTTATTACTAAGCCAGTTACACTACAAAACACTACAACTATATTAAGCAGCTTATAAGCAATTTAACACATCTTTCACTGTAATACACTAGTACTGGCTAGCAAAAGATCTGACAATTAATCCCTTGCATCACCAGAAAAAAGGTAGTTGCAGTACTCTCTGAAGGCAGGTATTCTAGAACCTGAAACTCTCATTCCTGGTCTGAAATAATTTGTCATGGTAGAATTTCAGGGTATTCCTCAGGGTCTATCTCTGACCTTTAAAAACAGTCAGGAAAATAGATATAGGGCAATGTGGAACTCACCTGAAGCTCCAGTTATGACAGGCTGCCTGATAACTATTAAGTGGAAAAGAATAAGCTGTGCATAGGTAATGAAAAATATTTTCCCCTCTCAGTTATCAGATATCACCCACCATCCTCTCCTTATTTCTTCTCTGCATGCCCTTCCTTCTTCCTTTCTACCCTCTTCCCCTGCCCCATAAAGAGAAACTGAAGTTTAGTAGCTCAAACCAGACAGACATTCTCATATGCTATAGACAGACATTCTCAAGCACTTGTGTCTGCTCTCTTTATAGAAATAATCCTAAATTAGATGTTTAAATTCACAATGTATTTGGAAAAAAAACAATTCAGCATTACTGTTAGTAAAAGTGAGTTGCTTTTCCTCCCCATTTACAAGATTTGAGCACTGCTTATAAGCAAGCTTTATTCATCCTTCTTTAAGCAGCACAAGCTGTTCCCATTATAAGGAATGCTATGACCTTCCCAAGTCCTTATAACTATACACTACAAACACATTAGCACAGGGCACTTGTCTAGCATTTCCATTCCCACTTTTAAAATGAGTAGTGAAATACCATTTGGAGAAATACTTCTGATTTTGGTTAGTAAGTCTCACACATTGTTCTTTCAACACTTCAAATGGAATCAGAAGCAAGAGTTGCTTGAAAGACTGTATTCAACAGCTAGCTAGGTAGGTACTAGCTAAAACAAAATATTTTAGTGAGTTTTAACATGCTAAAGTCACTTACAGTTCATCCCATTTAATCAAGTAGAAGAAGTTCTTGTATGTGCCAACCTTCTTGGACTGAACAGGTTTAAACAGATCTTTTCCATTATGGGTCAGAGAACAAATCAAGTAGTATTTTTCATAACTGGACAAGAAAAAGAAAGTCAATTAAACAAAAAATAATATAGAAAATTATGAATTTTACAATTAATAAATTACTCACTTTGATACCCAACCAGGAGAAATTCCATGCGCAGCAAATACTGTGAACTGGAGATGTTCTGTGGCAATCCATGCTTCCTTAGTACTCTTACTATCTTTTGGAGAAACTGCTGCAGAACTGCTACATGAATTCATGTGGAGTCGCAGAAGGGCCTCAACTGCTCTTGTTAACTGGTCTATACTCACTTTCAGAGGGTTTTCAGGCTGCAGTGAACCTAAATTATAGTTTAACTTTAATTCATATCTTCATAGAATAGCCACCTGAAAGCAGTTTTTAAATAAAATTGAAGAACTTTACTCACCAGATGAGCTCTTGCTAGTGTCATCACCACATTTTAAGGATACCTACACAGTAAAGTTAGAACAAGTTTCAGTACCAAGAGACCAATATTAATTTTCCATTTCTTTTAAGTATCTTGTACAGAAATTATGAAACATCTGAATTAGGCTCATATTTGGGTTTATGTAACACATTTTTACTCAAAGTTCCTCAAGAGTTAACTGACAGCATCACAATTTCCATAACATGCAACAACTATTCACCAAGTTCAAAAGCTCGTGTTTTGTCAAGTCACAACTATTTTGACACCCTTTATGAACTCTTAAAAGACACAGTGCATTGGAATATTGCTCAGAATACTCTAACTTCTCTGAGTAGAGATAAAACTTGGTCAGGGCTGTTATGGATGGAAGCAGAAGCTGTTAGCTCTATTACCTAGTAATTTAAGTCTGAACAGCTGTTTTGTTTGTGGCATTTGTTAACGTATCTTTTGTAGGCAGAGTTACTATAAATTTACTGAATAAAAAAAAGTTAAGCAACTGAGAAAAACTGAACAGCAAGTACTGTCACTTAATACTATCTGTTGTGTTTGCTTCTTGGTCTGCTAAACTGCAAGTCTAAACATGATACAGTATTACAGCAGTGTCTAGTCTCAACAAGGACACTGTTGAAACCAAAAGGTGCCAAACAAATCATGGGAATTTACTCCCTTCTAATAAGGAAGGGTTTCATACCAAATTCAACTTCTAATAAAACTAAAACGTAATGAAAACTAAGTTTGCGATTTAAAAACAAAACCCAGTGAATTCCTAATACTTCAGAAAAAGCCCAAGAAGTTTGCCACAACTGCTGCAGAAGAATGAAAGCTCTCCTTACACCTTTAGTGTATTAATTAAAACTTAATGTTGACAAGATGCTTAACTACCAAAAAACTTCATTCTTATAAAAAACATGCAGACACTTGCGGGGGGGGCGGGGGGGCAGAATCACATCATTTTCCCCTTTCAGAAAAATTGCCATATGTTTCCACCATATCTGTCAAGTAGTCCAAGTACTTTTGGATGACAGGATGCCAAACTGTTGAAACAGCACTATACATGTCATTTCCTACTTGACAGTCTACTGTTTTCTTGTACTTTTTGGCCACTTCTTCCAACCACAAAACAATTACTTTAAAAATAATCAAACAATATCTTACATAAGGTTTAGATGCAACTGGCTCCAATCTTTAGAGCAATTTTGTTTCTGAAAACAGTCCTATATGCCTTCATACACATTGGCTTAAACATTAACGTTCATCACAAGAGAATTGCAGGGTTTTGCTGATAAAAAAGTACCTTTTTCAAATTCTACTGGGATAACATTATTTTCAGAAGTTATTTTTACACTGTAATCTAATTATATCTAAAGCTTTCTCCTATCAAAAAGCAAACATTGAACAAATATTTGATACGCTGCATTTCACTAAGTTTTCTTAATACGTCTTCTGCATTTCCCTGCAAGAATTTTAGTTCCTGTGACAACTATATTTATTTGGTCCGTGCATTTTGCAAGACATCTGCTTAGTATTACAAATATTGAACTGATGAACCTGAAAGTGAATAGAACAGCACATGAATCGCCACTCTAATAAGGCAGCAGAACAACAGAAATAGTATTACAAGACTATTTAGCTTTTTTATTTGCACACTTCTCCATTTAATGACTGGTTTTGACAACATGACTTGAGACCAATTCTACTCAAGTTAACTGTTCCTTGTAAGGCAGTTTTATCATCAAAATCTGTGTTATTTGAGAGATTTTTATTTTTGTCCATATGCTCAGGAATGCAGAAGATTGAACTGTTAGAGTTTTAAGATGCTATTGCTATTCACATAAATACTGCAAAGAAAATACATGATGTGAATTCCTCCTTTAAGCATAACTGCATTGACTTTAAAGGGCATGAGCTAGCTGTCAGTTTCCCTCAGTCAGATTTAGTAGCATCTACTGTGACACAAGTCTGTAGTTACAGAACCAGAAAATAGTGACTTTTTTAAAACTAGTTTTAGAATACTATCTAGAACAGGAAAGGATTCCAAAGCAAGCGATTAATACATTAACAAAGAGATGTTAAAATAAATGGAAGATATCAGGTAAAATAAAACCACCATAACCCTGACTGAACTGTTGCTGGCATTTACAACTACCAAAAAGATTACAAAAAAGTATTTGTCAGTGTTAAAAAGCATACTTCAGAATGCAATTTATAGTGTGAAAGTTTACCTCAGCATTTTTAGTCCTTGGAAGATTAACAGCCCTCCTTAGCTTCTTTACTGATTCCGTTATTGCAGGAGTCTCTACACAATCCAATGTAGAACAGATTTTTCTGACAGTCTTAATTACATGATCTACTGCTTTATGCTGGTTCTAACAAGGAATGTATGAAAGAACAGATTGATCACAATTGTGAAATCCAGTATTGCTTTAATTTTTTTTTGATGATTCAGCCAAGAAAATTTCATTATGAGATGCATATCTCAATTACATTAAACTGCAGTGTAACAATTTGATTAAACAAAACCCTCACTATTGAGAACTTCCTTATAGCTCAGTTATCAACTCCGAAAACATAGTAGTATGGATTCTAGAATGGTGTCCTGGGAAACATTAGGAGATTTCCAACGATTTTTCTATTAAGTTGTAGGCAGACAAGTATTTTCTAATGAGATATTAAGCTCAAATTCCCTCATGGCATAGAAAAAATGTAGTTCAAAAAAAGATGTTCAATTAGTGAGAGGAAGGAATGCTAAAGAAGCAGTGTTTCAATTTCAGCCCTCTTAAAACAAACACATAGCTTCAAATTACACTTACACTACAATATGGCTTCCATAACAGAACTTTATCTTTTTTACTTCACTTTAATGTACTTTCGGAAAAGGTTTGTTGCAACTTTTGCCTTACATATTATTTAATTTAAATGGTTCTTCCAGATGAAGCAATTGCAAACTGTCATCTTGGAGAAGGAAAGGAAGGGGGATTGCACACTTTACAGGAAGCTTTTTTGAAAGGAATAGATCAGCTTCTTAGAGAATGAAAATGCTGGTAGGCTGCTTAAGACAAAGTTGAAATGTTCCTAATATTCCCTTCCTTCTCTTCAAATAAAAGAAAAGCCACTTAATTTAAACCTAAATAATCCTAGGTTTCTTGGGTTTTGTTTTTTTAATATAAGCAAAGTCTTCATCCAATTTTAAAGAGCACATGTAGATAATGAAAATATTTGCTTCAAAGTAACAGTTTAGTTTTTAAAGGCTTAATGTATAGATTTCTTTCACAACCACTTATAAGCACTTGCAACTAAATAGGCAGGATTAGTGTAATATCCTCCCGGTAAGATGTAAACTGATTCCCAACCCCCACCCTCCCCGACATATTCTCATGACCTTCCTACAAATGGATAGCAAAGCAGTCCATTAAATCAAAAAGTTTTGGGATTAGGAGTTACCTGGCAACAATTAACTTTGTCCTGGTAAGAAAATAACCATAGAAGTCAGAAGACATTGTAAATATTTAATCCATACTTTCAAAGCTAACACTTTGAAGATAACAGCTGTTTTGGCACATGAAAAGCAAAGTTTCCACTGCTATTTTCCTCATAGGCTCTCAAATTAAACTCAATAAAAAGACAATAGTTAATTTTAAAGCGTCCAACGATGTGAAATCAAAGGCTATAAACAAGTTACTTATGGATTACTTTACCCTGTTTCACTTTGATTAGCAAGCTTCAGCTACTGAATATGTACAGGAATTCACTTCAGGAAGTAAATAATTTCAAATGCAGCAACTGCTGATATTTGGACCTACTCATCATCATCTACAAGCTACATCTCCCATCATCAAAAAGACTGTAGAAAGAGCGGAACATAAGTCTGAATTGAGGTGTTTTGCGTTCCTCACTTCAGCATGTGAAACCACAGTTAAGCAAGCAAGCTGAAGCAGCTGCAAGAGCAAAGCAACAAAAACACCACCATATCAAGGAGCAGTAACATCTCACTCTCCTACAAGAAGACTGTGTTCAAAACTACCCTTGAGAACATGGTGAATCACCATCAAGGGAATTAAATAACATTAAGGGAATATGTAAATAGTGGACATAGCTTGTTCAGACCTGCATTCCTGGAGAGGCAAACAAACATACTGGAAATGAAAAGTATTGTAATTAAGAACAGTCTTGAAATGAATGATTTATAGAAACAGTTTAAGAAACATAGTTACCTAATGTTTAAGAATTTAAGTCTCCAAGTTACATTACTATCAGGAGTTAAACTAAGCTTCTCCTTTTAGAAATGAGTAAAGCAAGTTATCTTCAGTTAGCTTTTACATTTGGGAAATTACTCCAAAGTACTCCACATACAACCTGTTTTAAGCTACCTATCATCCATTGAAATAGACAATAGTTTTGACAGTGTATTTTAAATTAATCCAGTAGTGCAGAAGATGTTATTACACTTTGTGTAAAACTTACTTGTATGTTCCAAACACGCTTCAGTTACAACTCCCATTGTACGCAACTATTACTGCTCGCTTTTATGTAGATTTTTATCTGTTACCAATACATCATTCATGTCTGACAACAACTGACATAGTCAGGATTCAGACCTTTTTCCTATTCCCCTAAATTAATCTCTTCAGCATTTTTGAGGAAAAGGTTATTTTGCACCCCAGGACTTGGAAGATACATTTCTAGTTGTGACAATTAGGTAATAATCAGTTTGCAAGAAAAGGTAGAAAGAAAAGAGGAAAAGCAATCTAAAAATCCATTATTCCAAATTTACATTTGACAGCTTATTCAGATCTCAGTTTCCCCAGCTGTCCCATTAGTAAACCTTCTCATGCTACTTTTGGTTCAGCAATAATTTATGATGCCCTTACCTCATTTTTAAGAGCTATGTTAACTTGCTTGTGATACACATCAAGAAGCTCTTCAATAGAAGACCTGCAAGAAATAGTAATTATTGAACACAAGTGCAAGAACATAACATAACCTTGGTCAGAAATTCAGCAGTGGGCTTGATTACTAAAATAACCACATAACCTTACCTTATAATAGGTTCTCTGAAAGGCTTTTCTACTTTGTAGAGGTGTTTGGTTAGATGTATAGGTGTTCTGTCATCATCTTCCTGCAATAAAACATTAGCTATTAAGTCCAGCTCTCACCTTTCTATAATTTGTAATACTGTTTTATAAGTTTCATTACTAATACCTGTGGAGTAGAAGGGGAAAGATATAAGGTGATCTCTTCAAAGGGGAAAAGAAATAACTAATTCATAGCCTATGAAATGTGTACACATTGGGACAGGGGGAAGAGGGAAGAAACAGCAATCGAGTGCCTAACTATGCAGATATCAAGTATTCTTCCCCTCCTCTTTGAGGGTCTGAAACATATCTAATTAAACTCAAAAACTGTTCTCAACTTATTTAACTCTGAAAGTTGCTGCTTCTCTTTCAGGTCTCAAGTCAAGTCCAAACGCTTGCATACTTTTTCCAGCTATAGTACTTGGTCTAGTAAGAGAGTTTATCCATATGTATATTATTATTTGCCTTGCAAAAATTTGGTATTTCATTTCCTCTTAGTATAAGAGAATACAATTCCCAACACCAAGCAGACATACAAATTTGTTAATCACCCAAAAAGGTTACACCTCAGATCCATCAACTCTCATGCAAACTCCCAACCTCTTCAAGACTTATATTGCTGCTGCAGTTTAGGAGGTACTTACTGTTCGTGCCAGATCTCTGCATATTACACTATGGGTCAAGAGCTGCAGTTTGATTTCTATATCCCACTTCCGACAGTTCTGAATATATTCATGACTTCCTACGCAGTGCTTACTGTTGAACAAAAGAAAGCTATAGTTTTACCAAAAATATGCAGTGTTTTTCAAAAAACTCACTTGGAATATTTAAGACAACCTGTTGGCTCAAAATAAGGAAATGGTGAATCAGCCTCCACACCATACTCCTTGATCTGATTTTTACTTCTACAGAAGTTTTAGTATACTATTGCAGATACCTATACTTTTGCTAAAGCTCTTAACTACTGTGGCTAACAATGAAACCAAATATTCAAACCCAGAGAAATAATGGGGGAGTTGTAAGCCATTAGTTTTGAAGAAAAACACACCACAGATGATTTCTGATAATCTGAAATCATCAGTAGACTTTTTTTACCTGGTTGTTGGGATTTGAAGAGCAGCTGAAAACTACAACATCCAGACATGCTCTAGAAATCTGCATCTGAAAAAAACCTGTTTGTGTTCAACACAACAGATGGCAGATTAGAACAGATTTCTAGGAAGCTGTTGAGAACCTACTTTGCTGTATCCCAGAGCAACTCTAAAGACTGATCTTTGTGCAAAATGTGACTCTTCTGCGTTTTTAAGATTTCTGCTTTCACACATTTAATTGTTAAAGATATACTTTCCATTAATTGTGCATGAAGAAGCATGAAATTAAATATTAATGAAACTTACTTCTGTAAAACTTCTTCTTGGCCACAGACTTTCAGGATATAGCTGCCAATGTCCACTTCAGTCAAGTCATCATGCACCCAGCAAAGTGCCTGCATTATTATAAGCTCAACAGGGGAACTCACTGTTTAAAGAAATTACATCTAAAAGTTAAATATAGCTATATTACTATAGCAAGCGATATTAACCACTGTTCACTCACAAATTGTGGTTATTTAATGAAATTTATTTTTATACTTGTAGGGAAGACTCTTATGCTTCTATAATCTCCTAAATTTCATAGTCCAAGATCTTCATTTTTTTCCCCACAAAGAAAGGCACCTTATAAAACCTGCCTGTAGTTTAAGAAATCAATAAATCCTTTTTAAATTAGAATACAGTATAGTCATTTGACCAAGAGTACAAAAAAGTCTGCAGTCTGTTTTTCAGTTTTTATATGAGGCTAGCCTTTTTTTAATTATAAGTTTGCCTTATTTAGCAAGGACTTCAAATAGGTATGTGATCCCAGAGCTGCTTAAAGTTTAAAAATCATTGTCTGAAGGGTTGGAGATGGAACTTCTCTATTTGTTCTGCTTTTGAGGAAGTGAGTATCAGCTGTAGCAGAGGCAACTCCTACTGAAAGTCCTTTTTTCTTTTTCCTTTCCATTTGTCTAGGGCAGTTTCCACATTGTACAGATCAGATCTCAGTAAGCATCACCAAGCCTTTGCAAAAAGCAACTCAACAACCAGTACTTTCACATCAGTCTCCAAATGCCCTTTTGAAAACAGACTCTCTCTTCCATCCAGCAACTACAGAGCAAAAGAAATAATCCTAGTTAAACCCAAAATCCATTCCCCCACAGCCACCAGCTGTCACTGACGAAAAATACAGATATGTTTTAACACCACAAACATTTTAAGTACAAAATGCTCTCTACCCCTCCCTACCTAGTTTCTGATCTTCTCCTTCAAATAATTTGCAATGTCATTAAGTGTCTCAAAAATTCTGTAAAAAAACACTGTGTAAGGGAATTTATTTTTTCATCAGTACCTTCGGAGTGTTTTTTTCCCCCCGTCCAGGGACCGTCCCAATTTTCCCGAATCATTTTTTTTTTTTTGTAAGAAATGTTACTACTACGGTGGATACAGAGATAATGCTACAACAATATTTTCCACAAGATAACGCAAGTGCTTCATCTCATTAACAGATGACTAATTATTACAAGCATAGAAGTATTTGATAGCATATGAAGAATGAGTACGTGGAATTCAAGAACAAGGAATGATAAGAAGTACGAATTCAGAAACACTATTTAACTCATTATTAAGACTGTTTAGCTTATTATTAGTCTAGAGTGAAACTGCTGTACTACCTTCAGCAGAGAATATGGTGGTTGATAAGGAAAAAAGATGCAGTAACAGTTTATGGGCTATAGTCACAGGCTGCATTGGCCAAGGTCTGCCAGTCCTGCAAAGCCTACTGGAGTAATACAAAGATAGTGTTACCACCTTTTTCCCACCCTCCGTCTTATTGAAAGACATTCATTTCTTACTGACACGCAGTGATTGCTCAGGTAGACTTGTACTTCCATGTAAAGTCTAATAAACAAATGCAAAATGAATAGGTATACCCAAATAAGCTCTAAAGTTCATCTGTTTCCCTCCTGGGTCTTTTCTACACATCGAGTTGTCAGAACACTGAAAGGCTGCAGTCCCTTCTGAGCAGGACTGAAAGCCATACTGAAGTAGTTCTAGCATTAGGATGCTAAGGTATGCAACAATTTGACCAAGAACAGAACGAATTAAAGGAAGAGAATAACTTTAAATACGCCTATTACTAGTCACGTATAAGCTACGGATACCTATCTTTCACTAGTTATGGAAGACAAGTAGTTAACTGTGATTACTTTCAGCATCAGAAAAAGGAAGAGAGCAGAAAGCACAAAGAATAAGATACGCAGGGCTAGAATGCAAAACACATTCCAAGGTATTCACAAAACTTCTAGAAATAAAGGGCTGAAGCCATAACGTTTTGCTTACGCTACCAAAGCCTTTTGTAGGAAAGGATTAATCCTGTAATATTAGGAAAGTGTAGTCTTAAGGATGAAGAGCAGAAACCCTTCCTAAGCTACACTTACAGTCCACCTCATTTCTTAACAAAAGAGTATTAAATCACAGCAGAATAACTATAAGGCTGAGCAAATTAACAAATATAGAATGAAAACACTTACGTATGGAGAGCTTGTTTTCCAACAGAGCAGCTAGTTTAAGTGAGTAATAAAGCAACTTCGTATCTTTTGAGAACAACCAACTCTAAAGCATCTACACTGTTACAGATAGAGAACCAAATGATAAAAAAGCCACCACAGCACAGATCCACTACCAGGTGACACAGTCTGGGAATGGGAACCCTCACAAGGCCTAAGAGACTACAGCAGTTTAGAGGCTAAAAAGTAAGTTGCTTCTGAGGTAATTTATTATCAGTTATTTTATCACCAAGAACTGCCAGAAGTTGACAGCACCCAGAGTTACAGCCTTTAATACAAACGTGCTGTGCAGTCTTGACTGCACAGAGAATGTGAATTTATGTATAAGAACAAGGCAAACCTAGAAGTTCCACACCAAACTAATACTCCTGGTTACCCACAAAACTGGGCCAGATAGTTGTGGCACATCGTGACAGTATTATTTTAGTGTTTGTGTTCATAAGCATATATTGAAGTCAAGTAATTGATAATTTCAGTGTTTATTCTTATTTCCCAAAAGCAATTTGTCTGAATTTTCAGATAGCCTGCAAGAGTTTATTTAAACACATGTTAGAGTGTTGAAATAAAAAAAATAAATTAAAAGTTAAGAATCTCAGTCCTGGTGTTGTCATCCCCTCAATTACCATAAAGTAGGTCAAACTCCTGAAAAACTCTTTTAACATTCTCAGCAGTGGATAGAATAGTGCTTCTGGTTTGCTTGGCTTTCCTTTTTAAAAAAAAAAGTTTCACTTTGTCAGCTAAATATTTTCTGATGGAGGCACTGACCCAGAATTAGGTTCTTTCTTCACTTACCTTTTCCACATTCCCCACAAGCAATCTGCACACCTGAGACCCAGGGATTACAAAAACTGAAAGCCATTGGCCTAGACTGAGTGTACAGTCTTAACCCACCATTCTAAGTCTTACAAGCAAACTCCAATTTAAAAAGCAGAAAAACATACCATCACACGTGAAAGTTACTGGTTGCTGGAATTCTTCAATTTCTATAGAAACCTTGATACTGGCATTCTCCCCACTTATATTTCTTTGCAGCATGATTGGACTCAGCACAAAGCCTGGATTTGTTTGCCAATTAGCATAAGGAAATTTGGTCCTCAATCTGAAAGTAGAGAAGGTTTATGAAACATTGCAATGGGTAAGTCTAAGACTAAAGCAAAATAACATAGTAATAACCACAAGCCAGAACAGTAAAGACTACCTTTTGCTCTTTACCTAAATTGTAGGTACAAAACACCATTTAATTTTTCTACTCTCAACAGAACACTGCCCACAATAATTATACAAGTAGTAGAGATGAAAAAACCTAGCTTATAATTAGGCAGGTTTTCCATATAGCTTAAAATATTTAATAGGTCTTCCATATAGCTTAAAATGTTTAATAGGTCAACACGTACAGGACATACACAGCTTCTGTAGAAGCTAAGCTCTAAAACAGTTTTAAAAGAGCTAATCCATGGCATTTGCTAAAAACCAGTTTAAAAAAAAGGGTCATTTCTTTTATGTACAAAACACCACAAAACTCTTGACATGTTTTAATTTTCAGACGTCTAACTTTAACTTAGATACTATGTAGAAGATAGTTATTCCAAGTTGTGGAAGTTGAGAAAGAGGACTGAATTAAAGGAAAAGCTTTTCTTTAGGACACAAACGGTATGAAACATTCACCTAGTAATGAATAGACAGTACTTTGATAAATAGCAGAAAATAAAAAGCAGCTATCAAAGATAAAATAATTTAACCTTAACCTTCTGCCAACATTATAGTAGTATTATAGGAGATTAAGAACAGAACTCATCTATAATGGTCATCTATTTCATCATCTTGATTCCTGACAATAGCATGAACGGGAAAAAAAGGAATCCCTCTAGCAAGAGTTGTCCAGTCAAAAGTCCATCAGCACTTTAAGCACTGGTTCTTGAAAGAAAGGGCAACAATTAGATTTAACTAAAAACTGTTGCAACAAGCCTATTTTATGTGAGCTTTGTCTTGATGTTGCTCATCAGTAAGTTTCACAGGTATATGACTTCTCACTGGTTTTATGGAGTTTGCTTTTCATTTCATAAACATTCCTGTTTTAAAAAGTAGCTGTTACCCTTCAGATTCAAAGATCTCTATTTCCCCTATTAGTTCTTGGATTTTGATCTAGAGAGGAAAAGAGGCAAGACTCTTAGTTTGTCTGCTCTAGGAAGAAAGCAAAAAAAAAATCTCATTAAATTGTGGCAGTAAGCAAGAAAATAGAAGGAGCATTCTGGGTTATCAAGTCCCATCTTCTTTGGTATGGCCTTTAAGAAACTTCACCACCTGATCAAAGCAGGAACAAGTTTGAAGGTTTTATTTGTTACAGAATTCCAGTTGTGGAAACAATAAAAATGACAGCATTTAAGAGTTAGAAAGTCATTGAGTGACAGGATTTAGTGAGGTGCATCAACGGAGAAAAAGACTTTAAATTCTTTCAAAAGAAATTGTATAAAAAAATATATAGAAGGAGATACAGATATATGGAAATACAGGAAAATAGTTTGAGGATAAAAAGGAATACAAAAAAGGAAAAAAGTGAGAGGAAAGTCACAGGACCAAAAGAATAAAGAGGAGCTATGATAATTCAAAAAGCTTAGTACTGAGCACCTTAACAATTCTGTTGCATTCTTGAAAAAAAACAAGACAAAACCAGGGAAAACTGGGATAAGAAAAAGGGAAAAGGAGACATACTGAATTCTACCCCATCAAGCAAAAAAGTGTAGGACTGGCCCTGTCAACTTAACTGAAAATGAGTTATTTAGCTTTATTTTTTTCTTCTGACAGCTAATTTGTGTTCAGTAATTTCTTACTTCATAACTGCTTGAGAAAAAGCTGACAGTTCTTGATTCTGCCCTTCAATTTCTTGGAGAAGCACGTTTTCTGTCAGCACGCCAGTGGTCCCATTGTCTTTCTGCAACTCAAAGATAATACAGTATTTAAATAGCTGCAAACATATTCCTATATCCAGCAAAGCCAGGTGTAGATGATAGATTTTCAGGAGTCTGAGGTTTACTATTAGTTTTATGTCTACTTCTATAAGGAGAAGAATATATATCATTACTAATTTGAAAAGTAAAGATTCACTGGACTAGTGACTCCTTTACAGAAGGTAATTTGACAGCATCATTATCAGTTAAGATTAAGTTGCAAGCACAACAGTTCCTGAGCTCTCAGCAGTGACCTGTTGCATTAGAATTTGGCTAGATTTTGCTGAACCAGAGGAGGAAGACAGACAGTGTTTTTTCCTCTACTTCTGCAATTCAGCCTTCAGTATAGTCCCAGAAAGAACCATTACACATCAGTTCTGCCCATGACTACCTTTTCCTACAAAGCAGGAAAAGATAAATTGTACACTGGAAGGAAGTAGCATTCAGAACACTAAACTCAGAACTAATCTCGTGGTATCAAATTACTGCTGTTTTAATCCCTTATGCCATATGTACCCGCCAGCTGCCAAAAATATAAACCACAATCTTTGAAGTATCCAATCTAAAAAATAATTGCTAAAAAGAGAACTGCAGTTTCAAACAACAAAATCTAATAAACTCCAAAAAAATCACAAACAAAACTGCAGCAGTTTCTAATCCATATCTGTTTCTGATCCAATTCACAATACAGCCATACAAATGCTAGCGTATGCAAACAGCAGCTGAACAACCAGTGGGGTTGAGGTGGAACTCAGTCGTCTGTAGTCTAACAGCCACCACTAGCCTGAAGCACTCATTCCAGGGAGTATCTGGCTGGAGTTTCATAAGTTGATCTTGAAGAGTTTGCTCATGTCCAACCTAGGGTCATTGCGCACAGAGGATAAAACCTTCTGATCAGTTAAATTTTACATCCAGAGCTTTTACAATGCTTACAGAAACCTTTAATCTACCCAGAAGTCCAGAAAAAGAAAAGCAGACTGCGCTATAGTTTTCTGAAAGTCATCACAATTCATTCATACTTGAAATAGTGAACAACTACTTAACTAGTATGTGGGTTATTTATTATTAGCTGACAAAGTTAGCTGAGCATCTAATTTCATTAGAGTATATCAGACAATATAGTCAAATTAGACTGTCTCAGAAAAGGGCTCAAATCTGTAACATGCAGAGCTAGGGACTGTCAGGTCTTTTCCTTTTAGAACTTTTTTGCTCAAATAACTTAAGCAGTATAGCATAAACTTAGAAGGGATAATATACACAACCCATAATTGCCACTTGAATTGCATTTAAACCTAGTTACTTCAGCTAAAATACTGGTTTCATGAACACTGATCAGTTCAAAAGCATAAATTCTATATAACTGGGGGTTAGCCATACCATAGGAAGCAATTAGAGCAGGAAGCTGTAAAGTCACAAAACCTGGAATGAGATTCAGGAGCACGTATAATACCTTAAATTTAAAAAGGTTCTTCCATTCTAACATTTCAGACAAGTTGTATCACAAAAATACGTTTGGGCAACTGCACAAGACCTGCTGACAAACCTGTGCAATTGTATCTAGTAAATGTATTCTTTAAGCAATTACACAATAACAAAACAAGAAAATCATACAAGGAAACAGGAAGTTAACATACCAAGTGAAAGGTAAACACCTTTGATAAAGATTCAACTAACTGCTGGTGAGCACTCAACACAATACTCAACATTTGTATAGCCAGCTTCTTAAATAGAGAAAACTTAATCATTTCAAATCAAGAACTCTTTTTAAAGAAGTTAAGTAATGCTACAAGTAAGTACTCAAAGCACTTTGCAACTCTAACCAGAGTATAAAAGCAATACACAAGGGGATTACTTAAAATAAAGTAACACCAGTGATGCAACATTGCCACTTTATGCCACTATGTGACACTTTTGAGGTATTTACAGCAAAATTTGCAAGTTATTCTGCTGTTAAATTCAAAGGAGTTTAGGGAACAAGGCATTTCTACACATGCAAGCTTAGAATTTATTGTTTACCCTGACTAATGTAATGAGCAAAGCAAAAAAAGGTTTATTTGGTTACCCATAGTTGACCCCAGAGCCACATTTGGCTAAGGAGAGAAACCTAATGTTAATTCAAATATGTATTGCTGGAAATTACCTCCTGGTGAAAAATTAAGAACATTAAATACCTCCCTGCTTTTTTAGTTGAATTTGAATACTAATTTTTGATCACTTTTTGGAAGATAATTTCAGGAAGACAAGCTTTGATAAACTAAGAAATCTATTTAAAATCCACTGGACTCAGATAATTAGGGTTTTGAGCAACAAGTAGGATTTGAATTTCTTTAACTTCTAGATGAGCAAATCTAGGAGGTGCAAAGGCACCAGTCAAACAGGAAACAACTTGTAAGAAAGGACTTCAGGCCAAACTAGATAAATAGTTCATATCAGCACAGCCTGCAAAAATAGAAGTGGTCTGCAAATACAATTACTCCTAATAAAAAAACAAACCCAAAGCCCAGCAAGTTACCAAAAGTCAAGTTAAATTAAGTCCCATGAGTATATAAAGCCACAAGACTCTTCAGCTCTGTGGAGAGGAAAGGTAGAGAAGACAACACCTAGAATAGGACAAAACGATGATTTTCTCCTTTCTGAAAGCAGAGGCAGTGACAAACACTGAAGTATTTAAAGGGGAATACTGAATGTACAGATACTTCATCAAATATGAGGTAAAACTCAAAGCAATCTATTGATTCAAGGGATTAAATATAGTATGATAGAATCAAAATATATGACTAGAAATTGTTACTAATAGTTTTGTTTAAAGGGGCAGTGAGACTGAGTTATTCAGGGGGAAAAAGTGATCTAGACTAGTTAGGATGCAAGACTTCAGAATATACTTTGAAGGAAACATACCTGGTAAATGGGATAAAATACAAGAGAACTGCCAGAAATAGAGGCTAAATAACTCAGCTTCCTACTATACCAGATGGAAAATTATTTAAACTAGAAAATAAAGTAGCAGCACAGGATGGGCAAAAGATAAAGCAAAAGCCACAGGTTATGTTGAAAGGATATCCATTTTAGAGACTCTTCTTTAGATCTATTTATTATCTTCCTTAACAACTCAGCACAAGCAGCAGAGACACCCCTGCTGATAATTTACAGTCTTGTATCATCAGTTAACTTTATAATACAGACTAGAACCTGGAGTATTATGCCAAAACTAGTTAACCACCCACTGGAGGAACACAAGTGGAAAGTAAATCTCGAACCTTCAATTGGGCATTCACTGCAGGAGTCTGCTATAAACTAAGAATTTGTTTGAAAAAGATGATGGCTTAAGAAAGTCAGATACACTTTTATTGCATTTGCTTTATTCACGATGGCATCATAACAGCACATATCAATCCTGTAGTCAATTAACATATCAAGTATGCCCCTACTTGTAATGAGGGTTTATTTATGCCACTGTACAAGAACACACGGTACACTGTGCTCTCATAGATAACTAAAATTCTCATAAGCCATCTTCAGAAAAAGAGTGACAGGAAAGAAAAGCTATCACACAGAGCTTGCAATGAAAGCTGACAGAAAGCCACTGTCTCTTATAACATGTTAAGGTTAGCGTCAAAATGGTTCTTTATCTTAAATACCTGCTGTTCCATCCTGTTAAGAACGACATTTGCTAAGAGCTAGTTATGAATGCATTTCTGCTGAAAATCAGATGACTGATGAGGACAGTGAGGGCCTGAAACAGCCTCTAAATCAAAAGTAGCAGGAAGAAAAGACCACATGTGAAGGCAGAGCTTGAGCATTTGATGAATCAGTTAACACGTGATCTGCAAATAGCATGGGATTGGACCTGATGAACAGGAAAGACCCTTTTAAATCCTGCATTCTTGAAAAACACCCCTGGAATTTATAAAAACAGATTTCATTCAGCAACAGTCAAATATTACTTTCTACAGACAACACCTCAGAAGCACTGGTCCTATACAGTCTAGCTATTCTAGTCAATAGTTACATTACAACAAACCAAACATCACTGGAAGACTGACAAACACATCACTAGATAACATGACAAACTGAAGAAGCAAACTGCTGTAGAGCCCAAATTTACACGCCTCTCCAAATACTAGGAAATAAGTGAGCCCACATATCTCAGCTCAACAGTGAATAGAAAAAAAATAAAATGAAGTTAGACCCAAGGTCTTCACACATGTAATGTTAAAAATGCGATCCCTTAAAAACAAAGGTAAAGGATTTTTTGGGGTTTAGGGGTTTTTTTTGCTCCTTCTCCACTGGCCTTCTATTAAACTTTTGCCAGAGTACTGACAACTAGCCCAGAAAAACAGGAAATCCTTCAAATGAGGGGCCAAAAATTTCACTTCAATGGAAATTTAGACAGCCCTTTAAGCCAAAGCCTTTTTCTGAGAAAAAAAACCTCCCCCAGTTCGAGGGGGGAGGGAAGAATTAAGGAGCAATTTGGAAAATATCCTTGACTGATAACAGTTGTTTTTTTATGGCATGTCCCTAGCCTATTCAAAACACCTAGAAAGACAACAGATAAGATTCAAACCAGCTGCAATCCAAAGTCTCCAAGGCAAATGAATCTTTTACTTTGGCCCCTGTAACCAGTTTCTAGAAATAACATTTTTCCTGCCACTATCACCCTTGCCAGGGTGTTGTCTTTTCCACTGAAGACGTCCTTCAGTCTTTGTACTCTCTCTACCAAAAACTACAGAAGTATTCATATTCACTTTCTAGTGAGGTGACTAATATTTTAAAACGTAATGTCTCGTTTTATGATGGAATTATCACAGAAAAAATTTTAAAAGATAGGAAAAGTTAAATAATCTACAGTCATTTACTGGACTTGGAAAAGAGTAGGATGTACTTATGGGGGCATAATTAACCAGATGAGATTGCTACCCTATTGATCATCTGCTGTACAGTTTAGTTTTGATACAAACTGCATGTGCTCAGTGTCCAAAAAGATGAGTGTCATAACTAAAGTCTCTGTTGACATTTTTGTCTTGAAATTTTGATGAAAGCAATCCTGATCCTAGAGCAGAAATCACCCTTTTGCCCTGCCTGATAAAAGTAACATCACACAAAGATAGCTTTCCTTCTTCCAGAATGGAAGTACAGGGTTTGTGACCCAACAGGCATCCCACCTTCCAGGACAGTATAACCCAGAGGTTCGGTTATGATTTCTCTAGCATTCCTGCACAGAAGGAAAGATTTCTACCTACAAAAGAGAATTACAGTGGTCCTATGAAAGACTGCAAGTGATACTGGGAGAGCAGAAAAGAGTTTTGACTATGCCACCTTTCTATTCTACCTTTTTTTTTTTTAAAAAAAAAAGCAGACAGGTTCAAATATAAGGGGAAAAAAAGATTTTTTCAAAATCTGAGAAAAGGCTGCTGAAATAAAGCTTTCAGTGTCTAACTCGCCATCTTGTTATTTTGTAGTACCATGTGAATTGCTCATTAATTTAAATATTTAGAACAAATAAGTATTTAAATCATATTGATAAAGATTATTTCCATTTCTTTTTGTAGTGTGTTGAAAAACAGCAGTTTCCTCAGTAAATGTGGAAAGATTACACAAGGCCAGAGTTACTTTGGGATTTAGTTCAGTAGTAATATTCAATTTTCTGAATATCACTAACACATACATACACACACCAGTAACATCACATTATTTGGACACTGCTCAAGTGAAGTAATATTCAACAAACAAATCCAGACCTTAAAGTGTCTTTAAATACTGTGATTAATCTTTACTATTATACTGCAATTTAAAATACCAATTTACATACCTGTGATGTTTGGCCCTGTAACTTTGCAAGTTGAGTCGTTCGCATGTTTAAGGACTGGCTCCTTGTAACTGTTGCTCCAGAAGATTTCCCATTAACTTTTCTTTCCAGATGACAAGTTACTAACAGCTTTTCTTCTAAGAGCACAGCATCCCATGGATCTTCAGCAGTCATACTTGAAGCCCTCTCTCCATCATTCTCCGCCTTATTTAAAGTCTCCACAGTATCCACTTTTGGTTTACTTAGAGGATCCAAATCTAACCAATCAAATTTACTAACATCCCTGCAGCTTTCCGAGGCTGGCAGGTTAGAAACTGCAGACTTTATAGCAGTCATTTCTAAGTCCGTGCTTGACTTCCCATTTTTCAGAAATTCTGAGGTGCTTGCAATTTTGTCAAATACTTTTGCCATTTCTGGTGTAAGTACTGGAGGATATATAGGTAGGCTTCCTTGTGGATGGAACGGTGTAGTAGCTGCCAATGGGTATGAAATGTATTGTGACTGCCTTGGAAGACCAAGATAAATAGGTTCTCTGGAGTAATAGGAAGACATATTTGGATGGAATCCATTTTGAAATATACCAGTCTGTTTTGTGTAAGCAGCTGAGGGGTAAATAGGAGGTAAAGTGCATGTCACAGGTGCTGGTATCCCAGGCATCCACTGTCTTCTCTGACCCATAGGCCCAAGATAAAATTGTGAAGACACAGATGGGCTCAAAATAGGACTCACTGGTAACGTAGGTACTTTACTAGATTCAAAACTGTCATCCAGCAGCAGTTTCTCTAGTTCAGCATGAGTAAGCTTCTCTATGTCAATGGTACTTAGTTTATCTTCCATGCTCTTGGCATCAGACTCTGGAAACACCATGAGATCATGGTCCTGTTTGTTATGAGTCTGTGCTTTTTGTCTGGTGCCGCTTAAAGAATGAAAAGTTTGTTTATTACCAGCTACAACTCTTTCTTTCTGCATCTTAGCTAATGCCTCAGCTTCCATCTGCAGCGCCTCCTCTTTGTCCACATCTTTTGACCTGGCAGCTGCCAAAGAAGGTGAAGAGCGCTGTTTAAATCCATTGCTACTGGATATCTGGGCCATACCGCAAGAGCAGATGTCCATTTAAAGAAGCAACACTTCCCTCGTACTGGCTGTCTACCCTTGGCTTTGGAACAGATTTAGCAGATCTGGAAAGGAAATGAAACATTAGAAACGCATAAAAGAAATCATACGTGGAGAACTAAGTCAAACATCACCAACTGACAAGGTTGCACATGTCCTTCAGAAACCCAGGACAAAGTTTTAAAGAGAATTTTTTTTTTTTTTTTTGAGTCAAACTTGAGAGACACCACACAATTAAATTCACCGCCTTTGAATTATGTGAGACCCATTTATTTTTCTTACTAGTACTTACCAGTAGGTAGAGTAAGTACTTGGTTTCTTTTTGCACCACTAAACCTAAGACAAAAGCTACATTCAGGTACCTAACTGTTTTCAGATTTGAGTAATTCTGCATGCTTAGCCTGGTTCAATGTCAGAAGTAGAAATCATTCGAAAGACTATACAAATATCTAGCATTGATAAAGCACATTATCAAGAGGACTTCCAGTTTACTTCAATATATTAAAAAACCCAATAGACCTATCAAACTGCTGTACCATGATTATGATGGTCATAATGATGCTGAAGGACCTCCCTTCCTTTGGAAAATATCATTGTACTTTATCCTCTTAACAAGAGAAATAATGCTTATGAAATGCTATTTCTTGGACAAGCAAAATAAGCTATTTAAATACATCTGCTCATTAAGCAATCCCTTTAACAGCCCCTTAAAGGAAGTGTCATTCACTACTATGTAAGGGAAGAAACTCTGAAAGCTCACTTTTGCTTAAGGCCACCACCAAGAAAACGACATCTTACATTTCTCTAATTCTAATCTTGTACTCAGTACTATTATACAACTTCCCATATTCACCACGATATCTATGCCTCTATTAAAATGATCTTACAAGAGATTACCACAAGAACTGTTATTTTTCAGTATTATTTCTACTTTATTCTACAGCTTAGACAGGTTAGAGTTGAGTCCAGGAGATAAGATGTCTTCTAGCAACAGCTAGCATGCATATCAAGTAGCAAGATAAAAATCATGAATAATGAGTTTCCGGTAGGAGAGTTACATAAACAGCAATCCTCATTAAAACACAGTTTCACTGAACTAGACGAGTCCTTTAGATGTAAATCATCATGGGTTTAAGTCATGTAACAATCTACAAATTAGGAGAGTTCTCTGCAGCAAATAATGTAGATAACTCAAAAGTCTGTCTTTATGTTGCCTTGCTATTCATACCCATTAGATTTTTTTTCCTTGAATTAGATCAGAGATATGTGCTTTAAACAAACTTACTGTACTTCTGTGGACTCACCACATAGACAGCAAGATTCTTAACAGATTTCTAACAGATTCTTTAAATTCTTTAAGACTCTGGCCAAGCCTTTGTTTTATCTACTTCATTTCAGTGGCTTATATTGTAAAGGACAGACATCTTTATAAGAGATTCTATACATTTCAGCTAAGTCTGAAAACAAATTCAGGTGAAACACTTCACAAAGCAAGATTAAACCAAAACTAAAGTTACAGGTACCAAGACAAGATTTAAATGAAAGATGTTGTCTTCAGAAAGACTGAAACAGTGACAGACTAACAAAGTTATAAAACCCTGAAAACCACACAACTAAAGTCCTGGGGAATAAAGTCTTAAGGAGGAGCTTTGGAGGTTACTAGTATGTATCCATGCCACGCGATGATATTCAACACAGGTGAAGTCTACAGAAAAAAGCAGACACCAGATCCTTTTCCATACAATATATTAAGCTGTAGAGTTTGACATTCATTAAAGCCACAACTCTTGCCATCAGAAACAAGTCCTGTCCTATCTACTGCCTATTTGCACAGCTGAGTGTTGAACTTGATCAGGGAATTGATTAAAAAAACCACCCAAACTTTTTTGCTGGGTTCCTTTATAGACAGTGCAGGTCCCTGGTCCCATTTACAGCACAGCTGTGGCCTTCAGTGCCATTCGGTTATTTACTATCCTCCTGTTAGCAGGACAGTCATTCTAAACCTTCTCCTAAAGATGTACTGAATATTTTTTAGACAGTCTAAGCCTATGAGCCACAGATAACCTAATGAGAAGTCTAACAAACTTTACACCAACTGCTCAGACTGCCTAGATATCCAAGCAGGTTTTAATGTCTTTATTAACTTACGGCTGGCTAAAATTGCTATGTCAAATTTTCAGATGCAAGAACACCCTGACTTACGAAGTCCTCTTAATAATTCCCACTTGTTTTTTTCCAAGAAGCAGCAGCATGAGTTAAGTGCAGTTTTCAGTCTTGCTGTTGCCTAAGGATTCTAAGTAGCAGTAGGATTTTTTTGCCCGAATTTTATTTGAAAAACTAAAATAGGATCATACTTTCTGAGACTATTCAGAACTGTTTGGGTTACAACTTTGAAAATTATCAATGCATTATGGTGCTGCTTGATAATTACGGCAGCAAGTGATTTTTCTTAAGGAAAAAATATCAAGATTATATGGTCTTCAAAGTAACTATATATAAACAACTCTGGCTCCTTAAAAAAAGTAGGAAGCCTTATTTTTCTGCTGACATTGACAGCTTTGACCTCCATACTCACCAAGCAGTCTCCTACTCACAAGAAGTCACTATTCCACAAAGTCACAACTGCAGATAAACTTACATTCCCCAGCACTCAGAAAGATGGGGCACAGCTACTGCAGCACATTCATTTGTAACATCTAGGGAATCCCAAATGCTCAATAATTGCTTGTTTATTTTACAATTTCACATTACAGTGCTGCATTTTTGTCAGTGTACAATTTCACACTTGCACTGACAAATCCAGTGACTTCTAGTATTCAAGACAGAAGAATATTGTTATTAGTGGTTATCTGAAAAGTTGAATTTTATTTTTGCAAGACAGTCTCATCAGCATCCATACACTTAATTTGATCGCTGTATTTAAGACCTGCCCTTGGGAAACTGTAAAGCCAAATCAGTGTATAAATTTCTGTCAAATTTTATAAGCAGACTGCAGTTTTCAAACAGTTTGAAGTTAAAAACTGATTAAAAATCTGATAAAATAGCAATAGTTTTAGCAAAACTTTATCCTGCACGCCAGTTTTAAGCAGTAAATTCACATGATAAAACATCAGAAGAAAAGCTCCCTAGGCATAAGCATGATTAAAATAAAGATAGACCTTCTTTTAAATGCTAACTACAATGCATCAGTTAACATTTTCACATCAGTTTAGCTTCACATCAGTTTAGCTTCACTTTGAACTTCTGACTTCATAGCCATCTAAGTTCAAAGGCAGAGAGTGAGCAGAATTTAAACTTCTCCAACATTTAAAGAGAAGGGCAAGTTCCATTTGGACCATCTATCAGCAGGGAATGCCTCTCAAACACTCAAGAATGTTTCAATTCAAATCCCAGAAACAGGAAGAACAGATACCTGAACCATTACTGACCATACCGTAGGAATTCATGAGAAGTTTGCAACAACTGGAAGTCATCGGAAGACCTAGAAGTAATCCTTAGAGTCAGGATTGTTCTCATCTCAACTGCTGCACACTATTTTAAGTAACAATAATCAGTTTTCAACTGTCAATCTGTTCACCTTCAAGAGCACAGCTCTCTTTCCAAACACTTAAAGAATGGGTCAAATACTTCTATTTTTTTTTTAAAAAGGAAAACTAGAAGCAACTGAAGGAATTATAACAAATTTGAAAGCGATAAAGCAGTTTCCTACACCACTTATTTCTCCCCTAAATTTGAAATTAAATGGACACATTCATACTTCATACAAAGTCACCATATTTACACTGCCCTAGCAGTAACTCACCAATACTGCCTGCTACACTTAAAAGCACGTCTAAAAATCTCAACCACCCGATTTATCTATGGCCTTGACGAAAGGTAATCTGTCTCTTGCAGTGAGACTTAGTTAACTTTAAGCGATATTTTCTTTTAAGTATTTGACCAGATCTGATCAGACATGAGTCTGCAGACCTCTTTCTCAGGGAAACTCTGCTAGACTGGAGCCAAAGACCAACGCTTCCTTTGTGGCAATTTTGAATAAATGTGTTTAGAATATAAAGTTAATTTGCTCAGTCAAGTACCTGTGTATTGCTACGTAATTTTATTTACTTGAGTATTGCTCATTATTTCAAAGGAGTAAAACGCTCTTTTTAAAAAAAATGCAGCAACAAAACTTTATTAATATCAAGAACCAAGAAACAGCAAGATGTCTGACCATCTCCTTCAGATCAAAGCCTCTACATGGAATGGAAATTAAACCAGATTTTCACTTACAGAGGCTTACATAAAAACCAAAATATATTTACATATGCACTACTCTAGCAAATACATAAAATTGAACCATGAAGGAATTTTTTTTCTAATAAGGAATTTATAGGTTTCTGGTGAGAAACCTCAGGAGAATCAATACAGGATATTACATCTCTACCCGGACAAAGACTCCCAAAATCTAAATTAGTTTCCTATCTTAATGAACAAGGGATGACTTTATTAGAAATAAACCCTGTTACCTTAAGCAGAGGTAATCTCACCATCTGCTCATGTACGTGTTAACATTCTTCTCTACTCAAGATTTGTTGCACAACAAAGTTGCACAACAATTTTCTTTTCAAAAACACCCAAGGCTTTTAACATTCTATTTATAATTTGTTCTAGTGCTAAACAAGCACAGAACATATTATTTGGTAATTCATTCTTAAGAAATACTTTATAGTTATCACAAATCAGTACGCATAAATTCCCTAGAGTCCAAGCACTAAATACAGAGGCAATGATAACAAGTCAGACCATTTCCTGCATTCCTTATAAAGTAATGCCCTGACATACAGTAGCCAGAGCGTCCTCAAAACAAGTGTAATTTTCACAATAACTCCATGGTTATTTTGCCATTAAACAAAAGATTGAGGCATTTGCCTAACATTTAATTCTTAAGTTAGCTATCATTCACAAATCTTGCCTGCATACCAGAGACAGTAGCAGTTTTATGGGATAACAGGGAAAACTTAGCAAAATAAGACAGCAGTAATATACTATGGAAAGTACTAATCATCCGGAAAGGAATTCAT